AGACTAAGACAAAATATTACAGATTCAAATATAAAAACATTGACATTTTTGCTTAAGGCATGAGGTTGGTCTAGAAATAATCAACTAAAAAAAAAACCCAGACGTGTGGGGGAGGGTGAAGGGTTAACTAGAGAACTGAATTTTATATCCTCAAAATGAGGAGCAAAAACTCAACACTAACAGTTTGAGTGAAAGAGAAGCACAACGGGGGTCATTAAGTGTTGGGAAAAAGTAATTTGTTTGTTTGTATCACTTGAGAGAAGCACGTCGACACAGTAATTGCTGGGGAAGAGTACGACAGATTGATAGAAACAACAGAGGGAAAGTAAAGATGTAGGAACTACCAGAGGCGTCCTCCATCCATCTGTGGGAAAAAGTAAAACAGGCAGAATGAACAGACACTTTGAGACAGTCAAAAAGTAAAACTTGCCAGTGCTATCCTCCAACCCTCCATCAACATTAACAGATAATGGAAATTTGAGGAGACTACAAACTTCTGAACAGAAGGAGGAAATGACAATAAAAGCAACATTAGATAATACACTGGAAATCTTTCTACATCCTCGGGATAAAGACCAGCAAAAACATGGATAATATTCCATCTGGATAAAAGCCAATACACTGTCTTGCACAACAACAAAATGAGATACATAACACATTTATACGCAGATGACTGCATTGAAACGGAGCAAACTCTCAATTTAACCCTTTAATCAAGCATACAAAAAAAATGTGCTCAATATAAATAAATGGATATTTGTAAATTAGCAAAACCTTGTAGACGGACACATTCCATTACAGGCAGGATTAAAGAATAAACTTTAGACTGAAAGGTGATTACAGTTACCCCCCCCCCCCTACTGCAACAGGACTTAACAGCAATTCATTAAAAGATTAATTCCAGGGATGCTGCTGGGATTTTGTGAAAATAACTGAAAATTTACAAAGCTGCATTTGCAGACAAAAAGACATTCAAACAGAAAACATAAATGGGCATAAACAGGAAACAAATGCTGAGTAAAATAACAGTTCTTTTAATCTTCTTTCAATGAAAATAAATGAAAAAAAGGGGGGAAAAGGGGAAAAAACAGCACCCCTAAAAATCTCTTGTAAAGCTTGTGTCTTTGAAAGCTTATCAAAAGTTTGGTACAAAAATTGACAAAAACAGTTTTCAACAATTTCGACACCAATGACCATTTACAAGATACTAGTCCACTTTAACCCTACTTGTTACTACTAGTTTTCAGCTGCCACCCTTTAAAAGCTGTCTTTACTCTTTCCAAGTTACGGGGGTTTCAACAGCTGAGCAAAAAAAAATTATTGTAAACAAAATAAACTGAAGATGATATTGGGAGAGGCCAGTTGCCGGACTTATTTCATTTTAAAAAAGTGGGCATGTTGCGTCTCAAATTCAAATGTGAGGTACCATGGTGAAATCAGGCGCTCGCAAAAATAATTAAATTGAAGAAAACGACATTTTCCCACAAGTTTAGCAAATTTAAAAGAATTTTTGTTCTTTGGCTTATCACCTTTTATGTCCATTAAACAGCACATTGTTGTGTGAATTTTACTGAAAACCGCTGAATAAAGGCACAAAAAAGGTAAATTGTCAGTTCCTAAGGCCTCTCAAGCTATGAAAATCCCCAAATTTTGACGGCAATTTTCTTCTTAATTTTACCACTGAAATCAGGCGACCCCCCTCACCTTCTTCAATAACAAATATCTCAACTTCGGTTCAGGTAAGATGGGTAGCTCTTTCTTCGAAAGCAACAGAAATGACGTAGCTTTAAGATGATACAAACAACTCCACATGCTCAAAAATAGATGAGAGCCCGATTCCACCACGTTGTGACACAAATCAAAGACAAAATTACACTATGACTGTGCCCCCCCCCCCCCTTCCCCACCTCCCTCCCAAATGTGACTGCTCAGTGTAAGACTGCGCCATACCCCATATTGAAAAGTGACGCCCAAAACGCTTAGTGGGTCTACGCGCTAAAAACAAAGCTCTATTAAGAAGCGGAGATAAGAATATTTACTGGCCATGGCTTGTTGACTAGCACGGGTGCAGCTCCAGATATTAATGATATGCCGCAGACTAACAAGGAAAGTTTTAGGCACCTCTCCTCTCAAACATAATTTCCAGAATTTTCCTCTTCAAAGAGAGGACTCGGTAATAACTACATGTACAGCCTCTGTGGCTTAACTCTGAATAGGCATAGAGGATTATTCCTTGTTTTGTGGCAGCAAGTTTTGTTGAAAATAAGCATACAATAGTATTTTCATCATAGTAAAGGTAGTTTTCAAGCTACAATCATGTATTACCCATGAAAATTCAGAAAATGTGCAGACTCTGAACAATTATCGTCACTGTGTAACAAGAAAAATCCCAGTTGAGAGGCTTGTTTAAGCAGATGCCATGGTCATCTGTATTTTTGGGGGGGTTTTTTACACCCCAAAAACATTACACCAAAATATGCGGTAAATGCACTTTCAAATGCACTGTTTTTAGAGTACACATAATTCTACTTCTTTAACACAGCTCTTATTGAAAAGCTGGGGTGGAAATACAAAGCATTATCACCCAGAGTCTACGGAGTAGACAAGCTACTGTAATGGCGCAAAATCTAGCGTCTAGTCAGTAGACGTGCCGACTTTTAAGAGTTTTTCAACACAACATATCTAAACTAAAAAAGCAAGAATAAATACACATGGGAAAAGAAAGTCAATAAAATAATGTCACAGAAAAACCAATGCATTAGAAACATTTCACCTTTATAATTCGCTTCACTCAGTACCAAAGGTCCCTTGTGAATGCATTTAAATCATAACAACAATTGCAAAGGTCATTTTAAGCAGGATTTAATATGACTATGCAAGAGAAAGGCAAACACACAAACAAAATTCAATAAATAAAACAACATCCCCACACCTCCCCCAATCTGTTGAACCAACTGTTCACTGTCGTCTTTATTCTTAACATAAACGACAACCTATACAAACAGTGGAATTCCACTGTGGTTATTATCTATAAAAAAAACGGCAGCCAAGCACAGCCAAGACACCCTCACCCCACACTCGCTCAGAGGTCCCAACTGTACAAGACACCCCCCCCCCCCCCCCCGAAAAAAAAAACCCCAACAAAAATAAAACTTGAATTTTCGCAACTATCAGCCTGAATTTGGGCAGAAGCACGACAATTTCAATGGTACAGATCTATATATGAGGGTTGACCCAGAATGAGTGGGACACAGTATCCCAGCAGAAAGACTTTGATACTTGATCAAGCAGACTTTTGTGCAAGAGATTAAAACTAACATCTATTGCGCTCAACAGCAAAGAGCATAACCATTACACCACTGATGCTGGTTTGAATCACCCAAAGTACGCAATTTTTACATGGAGCCAACATTTAAAAGAGAGACTAGTCAGTAAAAACAGAGCAAAAATAAAACTAAAGTACGAGGATTACTAAAAACATTACACCACATCAGTTTTCAATTATTATACTTGCCTCCTTTTAACTTTTAACACGCGAAATGACATTCATGGCACATGCCTCAACACTTTTAACTCTTTATAAAACCTAATTACATCAGGATACACTTAACAACAAAGAGAGTGCACAAACTATTGGCGCATCTCAGTAATAGTCAGTAATAGTAATAAAATATGACCGTGTATATGTACAATAAAAATTTCTCCATGTCCCCCAAAAAGAGCCTGTCCCCTCCTCCCTTGAGTATACAAATACAAAACAAATAAAAACATCACCAATTACTTTTTAAAAAAGTTAAAATGTTGAAATTTTATAAGACAAAACCCAAGATGCAAGGAAAGGGAATGGCGAAAAAAACCAATAACATCACAGTGTAGTCTGCACCAAGGCCTACCACTGCCCATGCAGGAGCAAAGACAGAGAATTACGAAACGGACCCCTCTGGTTATGCATTATTCTGTTCCTGGCCAAATGATAAATAAAAGAACTCATACCCTAAACTTGAAATCAACAATTTGTTCTACAGTTGAACCTGCTCTAATGACCACCTGTCCAAGATAATCACCTATACATACAACCTCCTCTCCCCTTGTGTTTTTTTTCTCAAACATTATAATTACACTAAGATGTCCACATGTCTATGCTCACCACTTATCTCCTTAACACAGGACGGCTGTCTTGTAAAATTTTGACTGCAGGTGATTTAAACTGAGGTTTAAGGAGCTATTTTTTTGTGGGGTCTCAATTCAAAAACTTGAAATCTTGAATATCACAAATGTCATTTCTAGAACGGCAAAATATACAAACGGTTGAAAATTTCTGTAAGTTTGCAACCAATCTATACAGCTACCTATGCACAGAAAAGCACTGTCTATGAACATTTATTGACAAGTATTTTGTGTAAAAGATGTAACAGAGGTGAACACATCAGTGCCTCACAACAGTCAAGTCATCTCTTTCATAATTCAAATGCAAAACCAAAGACACTCCCCCTCCATTTTCAGCATCAATCTGCACAGAATCAGTCAGTTGTTTAGATGTACTAAACCCACAATTTTTAAACATTTTTTAAAATTGCTTTTTTAAATCTGTGATATGAGCTGCAAGTGCTCAAGGAAATTTGGTTAAAATTAAAATTCTAAAGATTGAAAAAAAAAAGTAAAAAAAGATCCATAATTAGAGTACAATTATTTAAAAAACAGACAATTTCTTTTGTCTCCTGACAAATTTTTCTTCCTGGGCCTAAAACATTGGAACACCTTACTGATGAAATTCTTTTGCACACTCCCCAACCCCCTTCTTCTGTCTTGGGGTAGAAAAAGCGCATTAGATCTCTATAGGTGGGTCGGGGTATAGTTTACTCTTGAACTTTGTACTCTTGTCTTGTCCCTGTGTGGCAGCATAGTCCTCTCGCTACCTCAGAATTACAAAGTTCTATCTGCTCAGTACCTAGTTTTGAGAAATTTGATGTCAAAGACTTTGAGTTTCACATCGTGTCAAGCTTTTACGAATGCAATTCTTTGAATATCTTGATAACGACTTTGAATAATCATACGATTTTGATAGAGCAGATAAGACATTTGATTTCTTACCTCACCGTCTTAATAACTCAAAACATCAAAAAATCTCGGAGAGAACTTTGCAATTCGAAGGTAGCGCTCTGTCTCCACGTCACTACATGTCCTGGAGCAAAAAATTAGTGGCTAGTCTGGGATTGTTGTTGGCAAACCGCAGAGCCTGCCGCACCTGGGCGTCGTTGAAGCCCATCTCCACAAATCGCTGAACCTGTAGGCCACAGAAAAATATCTATCACTACAACACAACATATGCCTGAACCCATACCATACAACAACATTCCACAGATATTCAACAGTGCACTTTTAACTTATTCACTGACGAATAAAGATGAATGGGAATAACAAATAAACAAAACCCTAATAACATCACAGTGCAGCGTACAGCTCCGGTACCTACATTATCCTTGAGGAAGCAAAGAGAGAGAGATTACAAAACGTTCAGCTCCGGCAGGAAAACATCTTCTACATTGTACTGTTTCTTATACTCTTTGTCCAGACCATCATAAAGGTCCAAGCACAGAGCCAACATCCCCCCCCCCCAACCCACCCAACCACACCTCCCAAGAGAGAATGACGACAAGTTAACGGATTTTAACATTTGGACATAGCATACACTAAAAAAAAGCTCAATAATCCTAACTTTCTGGAATCTTCCTGTAAGCAAGTCTTTCACTTTCCTTCATCAGCTAAGAAAGTGCACTGAGAACATCTATCATACTTAAACATTGACAACAAAAACAAGTGTATGAAGAGAGAAATACAAGCTGTTTCTGATAATTATAAGACTTTCAAAACTAAGTCTGATCACCTCAACTATGTTAATCAACATTTAGAAATATTGATAAAAACGTAACACCCCCCCCCCCCAATGGTACTGTTAATGTTAGTGCTAAAAGTTAACAGGTTCCAGATATGTTGAGTTGCAATTTGGAGTATAAACTAAAACTTGTTCAGGTATCTTTGATAGCGTTGTCCAGATTAACTGGAACCATATAAATAAGTTGAGTGGAAATATGATAAATAGTACTCAAAGGCGTCTACCAAAACAGGCACTGAACCCTCTCTGCCCCCAATAAAAAAATTTTTTTTTATCCTAAGGTGTAAAAGATAATTTCAACTCTTCATTTTCAAAAGTAGCAAAAGCATCCTTAGAACATGATATCATGGCAACCCAGATGTCGCCCCACAAAGAGTGGATACCCCCATTGTCTATAGGAAGTAGAGTACAGCCTAACCTATTCTAACAGCCACTTGTACAAGAAAATCATCTTTATGAATGGCCATTTCTCACTTCTCCCTTTGTGGGTCTTTTTTTTTTTTACATTAAAATAACACTAAGTTGGATGTTCGTCTGTCTAAGATTGCCACTCTTCTCCATGACAATGGGTGACCCTATTAGACAGTTTCTATTTTACGTCCCATAGGGGGGGGGGGGCCTCAAAATTGACTCTATCACCAGAATGGGACACCAAAACCTAATGTAAGCCAAGAGTACTTTACCTGATCTTCTGAGACAGCTCCTCCCGAGCTACTGGCCGAGCCACTGTCATCTGTGGAAGGGGGAAAAATTAAGTATAGAAGAAGAAGGATATACAGTTGAACCTGCCTGAATAGAGGCCATCCTTCCATAGTCGTTGCCAGTAAAAAAAAAGCCACCACTCTGTGAGTTTAAAAAAAAAAAAAATTTTAACCTATCCATAGCGGTCCCTGCCCAACATGGCCACAGCCAGTCAATTTTACGACAAGCCAGCCTCAAAACCTGCTCATAACCACCAGCTGCTACAAAAGTAGTCAGCAAACCTATCCCCATACTGTGGGTGTATGCTCAACCAATGCAAGAAAGCTCTCATGCTAAATGAAAATTTTGATGGAAATCAGAATTTCAGATTTTAAACCATCTGCTAACTTTGCCAAGTCTATTAAGTGACCATAACTCAGATTCTGTACTTAACTGCCACCTGTCTATAACAATAGCTTTCCTCTGTGATCTCCAGTGACAGTTATCGACAGGTTCAATTGTATGCACCCCAATCTTCATCACACAGTGTAATGACACGAGCTTGAACAAAATCAGTAGTGCATGTAACAAAATGCCCAAACCAAGAAAGATTTATGAACTTCTGCATAAAGCTTCAAGACCAATGGAACAGACCACAGCAGAGCAACAACCATTTGGTGACAGGATCTAGACAGGATCTAGGATTGCCACCATGTCAGTCCTTCAGTAGAGGAAGATAGATCTCATGCTGCTTTTCCTTATTTATTTTCAAATTATCATTATTACTATTACAGTCAAAACTGCTCTAACAGCCACTTGTATAGAAGACAACGACCCGTAGGAAATGCCTGTTCCCATTTCCCTCTGAGCATTTTTTTAACATTACAATGGCACTGTGTAAGACATTCACCAGTCTAAGAAAACAGCATTTCTCCTTGACAATGGGTGGCCGTCAAAGACAATTTCGACAATATTTACAAAAAATAATTATCGTATTACGTTCAGCTTCGTATCATAACAATACTTTTATTAATATGATTACTACATTACCGTTATTGGCGTAATTATTATGATTACTATTATTCACAAAGTATTATTTTATTTTTATTTATATATTTACAAATTAACCTCACCAAACTTGTTGCACAGCGCTCTGCTCTACTGACCTAAAATTTCAAATCTCAACAAAAACAGCAACATAACTGCAAACCTAAAAACAGACACAGCAATCATTATCATTATTATAGTAGAGGGTTTTACGGCGCTCGCAACTGCATAAGGTCATATGAGCGCCAAGGGGTGGGTGTCAACAGAGAAGTCTTTACAGGGAATCAGACTTAGACTGCTCACTTCTCTAGCTTCAACAGCACAAGGTCTGCTTCGACTATCAAGGCACCCCAAAATAGCAGGTCACAAGAGAGTGACAAACATATAAAAGAAGTAGAAGAAAATGACAATAGTAAGGATCAGGAAAGAAAAAGCAGCAGTTCCCTATTGTAGATCAGGCCCAGTTATGAGCGTGACATGAGTCAGCCCATTTACAATTCTACTATGCTTGAACAAGAAAGGTCCCCCCTTTGGGAATGGCCTAAAGACACTTCAGTCAGTGGCAACGCACCCCTGGGGGAACACACACAGCAATCAGAAAAAAGACATCTTAATAAAGTCTGAAACCAATACACAAAGGTTTTAACAAGTTACCTGGTGACTGCTGCTCTGCTTGTGCCTGACCTGCTCTTCTCACCACATTGCCAAAGATGCCGGGACCCTGAGCCACGTTCTGGGATAAAAAAAATAATACAAGAGTTACTCAGTTTTGTTGGTTGTGGTCACTGATCCAGCAGTAGCGACTTTAAAGTTTAAGTAAAGACAATCACATTAATATAATAACATACATTTTTCTTTAATAATGGAGAAAAAAAAACAACACCCCATATCAACAGTTAACATTTTGCACTCTCATTCAAACAATTTATATTATTCATTTAGGACACAGGCTGTTTTCACTTTCACCCTATCTGTCAGGACCAAACTGTGCTGAGAGAGATACAAATCACCAAAATACAGACACAGATGACTAATAAAATGCCTATCTACAGGAGATTCAAACTCATGTTTTCTGCCTGCGACAACAAAGCGCTTATTAATTCTCTAAACCACAGAAGTTTGTTCTCATTCTTACAAGACTATAGCACAAAGAACGAGAAGCTCATGATTGCAAATGCTTTATGCCTCCACCAGGGTCCCCACTTAATCCTGGAAATTTTTTTCAAGACCCCCATTTTTTTCAAGACCCCAATTCAAGGGAAAAATAAGGCCGCTACGCGTCAAGAATGATCACCAAAAAAGCCAATCTATCAATGATAAAAAGTCAAAATGTCTTTAAATGAATGCAAACGTACATTTTGTAGTAAGTATAGTCTTCAAACATTAGATGATTATAATACTGGGTGACTGTCAACCTAGCTTCTCAATTTTCCAAGGTGGGGGTAATCCATTTTCCAGGGGCATGTTACATAACAATGACAGCGTGTGCTCCATTTATATCAAATATAATATGTATGTTATGTTTGTGAACATACACACACACACACATGTAGGTACATTATTATATCAAGTCAATAACATGTCAGTGTGGTACTGGGACCTTGTATGACTTTGGTATTTCAGTCTGTTCTTACTTATTTATATTATCCCCTCATCATGATTCATATTAGCCTACATTAACTATATAAAAAATGAATCCCGTTTTGAGCCTGAGAAAAGACCTAGCACCAGAATATCGACTGTCAATAACCAGTCTGTGTGTCACGAATCATTAATCATCATAAACATGAAGACGAACTATCGAACTATCGCTCAAACTCAATTAGTAGAGTAATATTAGTAATAACTTGAATGGCTCAAGTACACCTATTCAGTGTGAGAGGTGTAAGAACTGAGGGAGGGCAAGATGCAGTGACACTGAAAATATGCCAATCTTGAACAGAAATCTAAAATATAGATGTAAATTACTATCACCCCATCCAATGGAACAGGAACACTTTAGTTCAGTAACAAGGCATGACGGATCCCGATTCCACATTAGGCCTGCACCAACGCGCGCTTTGCAGAGAGCTCAGTAGTATCAAAATTCTAAATATACTTTAAAAAATGTGCTTCCCAGTTCAGTTTTCGTCCTCTAGTGTTGCCTTCAACTCCCCACCCAACCCCTTCCCCGAGTGTATTTTTTTTTTTTTAATCAATAACACCCCCCCCTCTCCAGAGTCCTATACTTCACAGCGCTCAGACTGCAGGGACTCACACAATGCCTTATCACTTGATGGGGGCGCACAGGGTCACTGACCGGTCACGATGGCAAACCTGACAAGACGCTTGTAAAACTTTCTTTTCCTTTTTTTCCCCACAAGTGACAGCACATGACAAATATTGATTTATTTTCATGGCGACACAGCTTTTGTAATGCACAACCTGCATATTACAAATGTTGTGTTATGTATAAGACTATTACTAGAAAATTTCTGGGTGGTAACGAAAGCGAAAGTAGATATTGAATCTTCCCGATCGAGCCTCGGTGTCACACATACACTTCAGCCTGCCGCCACAGCAGTTCAATAACGTTTCCTCTTAACGATTCATCAACCATACTGTCTAGACAGCTACACTACTATTACACAGGCCCTATCCTTTCCCAACTTACCGACCCATCTCAAAATTCCCGACTTTTTCCCGATTTCCCGACCCGGTGGGGACCCTGCCCCACTAACATTCACAGTTAGCTCTACCGTGTCTACCCTGGGCATTGAGACTGAGGACAAAAGATTTTTACGTTACAAGCTTTAGTGGAAATTGCTCGGAAGTTAGAAAGGGACTCAAAGCCTCCTCTAACAATGTTTCTTCTTCCGAGTAAAAAAAGGGCATCAACACATTAATGATCATTTAGTGCTGAGAAGAGGTCAGACATCAACACATTAATGATCATTTAGTGCTGAGAAGAGGTCAGACATCAACACATTAATGATCATTTAGTGCTGAGAAGAGGTCAGACATCAACACATTAATGATCATTTAGTGCTGAGAAGAGGTCAGACATCAACACATTAATGATCATTTAGAGCTGAGAAGAGGTCAGACATCAACACATTAATGATCATTTAGAGCTGAGAAGAGGTCAGACATCAACACATTAATGATCATTTAGTGCTGAGAAGAGGTCAGACATCAACACATTAATGATCATTTAGTGCTGAGAAGAGGTCAGACATCAACACATTAATGATCATTTAGTGGTGAGAAGAGGTCAGACATCAACACATTAATGATCATTTAGTGGTGAGAAGAGGTCAGACATCAACACATTAATTATCATTTAGTGCTGAGAAGAGGTCAGACAGACCGGGGAAAGTAGAAAAATACCTACAAGTGGTAAAAAAAAAACCCTCCCTTTAACACTCAAGCCTTAAAAACATGGGGTGAGATTCAAAACCAGCTAAGTGACATTTTGGAAAAAATGAGAATTTTTTGCTTATAAATTAAATGCACATTGTTACCGGCTAAAAGAAGCACAGTTTCGGCCAAAACCCAACACATACTTCATAAAAGCCACCAAAAAATCTTCTTTTTACACATATTCGTACGAATAGCAGCACTTTAAAAAAGCTGATCTTCTCAGTCATTAGCCGGTTTTGCATCTCAGCCCTGAAAATACGGTCGAACCTGTTGTAACAGCTACCTGTCCAAGTCAACAATCCCCTGAAAAAAGAACAACAAACGACCACTTCTCACCCATCAACCCTTCCCCTTTTGGGGGGTGGGGTTGTGGGTTTTTTTCAGGGGGAGGGGAATGTTAACATTATTATAATGCTGCCGAAGACATCCACCTGTCTATAACAAGCACTCTTCTTCTCGACAATGTGTCTACTGTTTTCGACTATAAGTGAATAAATAAATAAAACTTACAATAGGCTGCGGTCGGCCAATGTCCATGTGCCGACTGGCCTGTATGGCTGAGGCCATCATCTGCTGCTCAATGCGGTCCAGTCGCTCTCTCTGCTGCAGCTCCAGCGTGGCCCCCATGGGTAACGACGTCTTCTGCAGGTCGGGTGACTCCAGGAAGCGACCCAAACAATACTCAAAAGCTCTAGCCACAAATACTGGGACCTGCAGCATAGCCTGGACCTTTAAGAAGTTCGCCCTCCACAGAATTCCAGCCAGCTGAAAACATACAGACGAGCAATGCCATTTAAGTTTAGGGAGCAATTGGAAAAAAAAATTTTTTAATCAGGAAGTGATTTGCTTGATGGATTCTGCAAAAAACTAGTTACAATACACATGGATCTCCATGCAGTCTTATCTGATATACCTTTACAATAGTTACAACAACAACAACAACAATTGTTTTCTTAAGCGGTCTTGAATAGCAATGGTAATAACAACATGACGAAAAAGTGGTCTAGAATAATAATCTTCTTCACAAAGATTGTAACAGGACATTGCAGATCCATTTTCTGTTATTGAAAAGACAAGTGAAAGAAAAAACAAACAAATCAGACAGAATACAAAAGAGCAGTGCAGTTACATCTTTCAATGACAACGACAATCTTTATTCATCTCGCAGGGATAAATTTGTCTTGGTCATTAACAATGGCAGTAGACGTTACAAAGGTTAGGTGCACTCACCCATACACAAAACAAGACAGGACATTAGTAAATACATGTTTCACATGCTGGAACAACCCGCTCCGTAAAACATTCTCTCACTCTCTCTCTTCTCTCTCTCCTTTCTGTTTCATTTCAAGCACTGTGTGTTCGGTAACCTCACTGCAGTTGGTATGAATGAATCTCTATATCCATCTGTTCTTGCTTTTTTGGAAATGTATCGTTTACTGCAGGTCAAGTGTTGAAATTCCAATGTCAGTGGGTGGCTATGGTCATTAAGCATTATTTCCGCCTTTTTTCGAACGTTTGTCTTATGCAGATATTCAAAGTTACTTAGGTATCTACCAATGGTTCTTGACGCCTTTCTGATCAACTTGTTTATGTTTATGATGTGCTACCTTCCCAAATTGCTACCATAGCAAGTGATACCAAAATTTATCAAAGTTCCTATTGTGGTGGTGTAGAATATCTGAAGGATGGATGGATTCAGATTAAAAGACTTAAGTTTCCTCAGAAAGTACAGCCTTTGATTCACCTTTTTAACGATATTGTTTAAGTAATTTTGCCATGTAAATTTGTTGTCGATTGTAAGACCAAGATATTTGTATGAATCCATGATTTCAATTGTTTTTTGTTCAATTACGAGTGGTGGGATTGTTGGTTTTTCTCTTCTAAAATCAAAAATCAATTTTTTTGTTTTTGAGAGGTTCACCTTCAGAAAATTGCAATTGCAACATTTAACTCATTCGCTACATATTATTTTCGGCTTGTGGACGAATTCTTTTCGGGAGGGCGAAATGGGATGATGACTAGTGCGCAGTTCACAGGTCTTTGGGGCCATAAATTCAAATAAATATCAACATATTATGTACCAACATTTTCAGTATGGTTTGTAGAATACATCTGTATTATTTATTTGCGTATTTTTCAACTTTGGTTCCTGTAAGAGG